GGGCAGTTCCATGCCAAGTCGTACAAGTTTGCACGTGGACCTCAGATTTTTTTCATTTTTTGCCCAGTTGTAGCACTTGATAACGGATTTTGAAATTGAAAGAGTTCGCCCCAAAAAGTGTACTGGCGGCAAACTTAGACCGTTCTGAAGTGTGGAAAAGAAGCGCAGTGGTAACGAACTTGTAGTTTTTATTATTCGCGACGGAATTTTCTCATTTTTACTTCTCTTGAAAGGTCGTCTCCCGCAAATTCAGAAGAATGATGAAATGCTTACAATAGCAAATTTTATTTCAGATTAAAACGAAAACAAAAATTTAAAACGCTTTTTCTGAGAAAGCAGCATTTTGAATTTTTTTAAAAAAATGTATTTTTCAAAGAAATAATTTTTATACAAAAAAAAAAAATTACAAGGTTACACCTCTTTGGCATCAAGAGTTACGTTGTGATTAGTGACAGTAGACTGGAAAAGACCCTTAATTCAAGCAGCATTTTGGCGCTTCCACAATCGTTGTAAAACTCTTTAACTCAACCACTTCAATAACAGATAGTTATTTAAAATTTATTTACTATTAAACAGTTTCACAGAGTTCTCTTAGAAGAAATTGCTGTTATGTTTACTTTTTCCGCTTGTACGGTTTTGCTTGCTTATTGAGCCCTTCTAACCCGAATATATCGCACTCAGTACTGTTTTTTGGTTGTGGATATTGTTTTCCTGTCACTTTCGCAACCGTGTATTAATTTGAGGCCAGGAGTGAGGTTGAGAAGACTAGCAACGAAAGCCGGTATGACGGTATGAAAGAGACACTTCCAGTCTAAATCCTAACTCAAAATGACCTTTACAAATAGGCTCGGAATAGATGAAAGGAAATGTTAATAATTCCAGCATTTCTCAGAAATATGGAAGGCGATGAGCACTTCCACCACCGCGTTTCTGCATAGATTCACCAGTTTTTACAAGGGTTACATATGTTCTTGCAAGTAATAAAACTTTAGTTGAACCAGAGGCTCTAATGCTTTCGAAAGCGCCAAAATGCTGCTTCAATTAGGGTTTTTTCCAGTCCACTGTCACTAATCGCACCGAAACTCTCGATGTAGAAAAGATACCATTTTGCAATTCTATATATTCTGCTAAAATTATGCCTTTAAAAAATACGTCTTTTTTAAAAATTTAAAATTTTGCTTTTCTAGAAAGAACGTTTTGAGTTTTCGTTTCTGTTTTATCCTAAAACAAAACTTGCTATTTGAGCATTTCATCATTTTTCTGAATCTGCTAGAGAGAAGCTTTCAAATAAAGTAAAAATGAGGGAAATTCGTTGCGAATTGAGAGAAAAAAGTTAGACCTTGTCGAGAGTGGAATGCGTTTTTTTTCCCGTTTTAAAACAGTCTAACTTTGCGCTAACGCACTTTTTGAGATGAACTTTTCCGACTTCAAAACCCGGTATCAAGTGCTATAAATAGGCAAAAAATGGAAAAAAATTAGAGGTCGAGGTGCAAACTTGTGCTACTTGACATGGAACGGCTCATATACATATACATAGATATATAATAATCTACTGTATCTTTTGTTTGGTACTTAAACAGAAATAAAGTTCAAATACAGCGAAAAAAAAGAGAATATCAGATACAACTGTGGCTGAATAAACATTATGACTTATTTTTATTACGTAGGTAAATAAGTTTT